TGAAAAAGCTGAAACTTTTCCCAGGGACAACCATATGCAGAGATGTGCTGCGACCTAGTGGTCCTTTCCTCGCCTAGCAAGTTGGAACAAGTCTGAAGTGGCATTTCTCCCCTCTGGGAATCACTGTCACATTTACAGGCCCCTCTTCATTATTTTTCAGCACACTGGAAGTTTTGTAATGTTCCCATAGTTAATCTGCACCCTGTCATCATCATGCTGGCTGGGCAACCAGGCCTGAAAATGGGTGTTCACTTGGTTGGCAGCCTACAGAAGACCGTCAGTTCGCTTCAGCTCACCCTGTAGCTCAGTGGCTTTTTGTGGGCAGTATCCTGGACCTGCCTCTCCTTACTACCATAAGAAAGCAGCTGCTGGAGGACCACCTCCATCTGCTTCATCACTACTTTGTAATCATTCTATAGTCAGAGGACATTGTTGTGCCTTGCTGTACAGACCTGGTATGGGTCCATGGATGTCTAGGTATATCCCTCACAGGGCACCAGTGGCCCACTCATCTACTTTTCTGGTTCATCAACACATTATACTTAGTTTGTATCTGCATCTTTACATTCTTCTTGGGTGCCATGAGCATCTAGATGTCCCTTACAGTGGTGCTGTGGGCCTCCTAGGAGGCTTTTCTTTGTCTGATTTTCTTATGTGACATGGTGGTCCTCAGCCTAAATTCTCGATACTCAATTTCCTGGCTAAGGGATGCCAGAGGAGACCGGGTACAGCACCACCCACAGACCATAGTCTGGTTTGGAATTTTGAGGCAATGTCTCAGCTATGAATTGGAGATCCTCTTGAGCAGCCTCCTGAATGCCATGCCTTCCAACTTTATTGATTTTAACACACACATTCATAGGTTTGAAAATCACAACCACAATTAAGTTACATAATTGTTTAAAGTCCCAAATATTCTCTTTACAGGCTTGTCTTTATCTCATCTTTATTCCTTGGAAATGACTGGTCTTTCTCTCCTTTCATTGACACTATAATACTTTTCATCCAAGAATGTTAAATACATGATATCATACCTCATGTGCCTTTGCCATTGTCTTTCCTCATGATCATGTTATTGAGATTCACTCAAGTTCCTGGGTATACTTTTCTTTCTTACTGCTGAGTCATGTTTCTTGGTATGAACAGATACTTTGGTTAAGAGTTCACCAATAAGAAGATATTTGGAATATTTTCAGTTTGGAGAGGGTAGGAAGAAAGCCACTGTGAACATCAATTCATGGGTTATTTTTTTCTGTAGATATGTTTTCATTCTCTTGGTTATATACCCAGAAGTGAAACTGCTGGTTTGGGGCCATTTCCACATTTAATCACTGGAATAACTTGACACACTTACTTTCTAAGGCAGGGAAATTATTTGAACCCTCTATCAGCAGTATGCTATATGAAGCTTCCAATTTCTCCCCATCCTTGTCAGCACTTAATATGATCTGTTATCATCATCACTCTCATCATTATCTTAGTAGATGCAAAATAGTAGAGACTTACATTTCTTTACTGAGTAGTGATGATGAATACTTCTTGTGCTTTTTGGCCATTTACATAACTTCTTTGGATACAGCCAATGGTTGCTCAGGAAAGAAGAGTCCATTTTTTTCAGGAATGAGCACTGTAATAGGTGATCCTAGACAATGCACTCAGCCTTAAATTCATGTATATATGGGCAAAGCTAATTAGACTTGGTATATTGTGTGTGTATGTGTTTGTGTGTGTAAAACAATAATATTTATAGAAGAACAGGACAGGAAATTGACAGGGGATGTTGGAGGGAAACCACACAGGAGGAGGTAGAGAGAGGAGAGAGAGAGAGAAAAAAAATGATGTAAATATAAGACTTATGCATGAAATTCTGAAAAATAGCATGAGTAAAAAAAATCAAAGGAAAACAAAACAACTTATAAGCATAACATATTTAAAACAAGATAGACTTTACACTAAAGTCATTTATTTACTCATTCATTGTAGAATTTCATTCTAGAGCCTAGGATGGACATGAACTTGTGATCTTTTGGCTTTAGTTTGCTAAGTGTTGAGATTTTGGGCATGTGCTCTCACATCTTATAGCTAAATTTTAAAAATAACTATAAGCATTTCCTTAAATTATATAACGCCTTGGAAATAACTGCATTCTCAGTGTAATATTTAAAGATAGAGTATTGATTTTCCAATGTAATTTTGGTTATTTGTTCTCATTAACATTATCTGACTACAGAACTTCCCTTTTTATATTGTGATTAAAATCCTCTTTGCAATTATTTTAATGTATTGTTTGTTGCTATCAAAGTTTTGGCATTAAGAATATTGACATTTCACACTCTGCCTGCATTGTCTTTGAAAAGGCTTATGCTAATCAAAAATCTTCATTGATTTTTACTTTTGCAGTCTTAACCCCTATGTGATTGCATACCCAGGAGAAGAGACCTCTCTTCCTTCTATGTTTAGAATATAAACAAATATATCTAGAGGAATATATTCCTGTCTAAAGGGACAAATAGTAAGTAGAAAGCATGGAGGTATATTGAAATATATACATTAATAAATAAACTGTAATCAAACACCATTAACAAAATTGCTGAATCCTCAAATTCATGTTAATATTGATTGAAATATTCACAGTATGCAATGAGTAATAATTACTTATGTCTGGAAAATTTCATGTTTTCCTTAAAATTTTATTTGAAGTGCATGAAGCTTCAGTAAATAGTGTTGATGATCAGTTTCAAAATGATCCCACCAGAGATACTCCTGCCTCCGTACATACTTGTGTGATCTCTCATATTTTACAAGGGACAGATTTTATGGCCAATAGCACATCAAAGAAGTTGTAATGCCACTGAGATTATGTTATAAATGACAATTTATTTTCTATTTTTGGTCTTTCTCTGTAAATACACTATCTTACACAAGAGTGTAACTTCCTGGTAACCATCACATGTGATTGCAAATGGATTCTTCAGAGATGGTTTCCTAGTCAAGAGCTTGACTGCCACATTCTGGGAGCCCTGGGTTAAAGGACCCTACTGAGCTCATCAAAGATCCCTGATTAGCAGAAACCTTGTGGGATAATAAATAGAACTTTCAGATGCCGAGTTTTAGAGTAATTTGTTACACAGCAGTAGATAGCCAATACAAATTATGAAAGCTTTAGACATTTCAAAGAACTTCTAGAATGGTAACATAACATTTGGTACAAGTGTGAAACATTGTATTCATTCTAATGCTGGTCGATTAGGAAATCCTTATATGGTGGTACCATTCTTTTTTCACTTTTTTCATCTATTTGTTTTATATCCTGGCTGCAGCCTCCTCCCACCATCTTCCCTTCCCAGTCTTTCTTCCCCATTCATCCCTCCCAACCACAATCTCCTCCTTTTCCATCTCCATCCGGGAAAGGGCAGGTCTCCTACTGAGTATCAATAAAACATGGCATATCAAGTCACAGTAAGACTAAGCAGGTAGGTGGTGTCATTCTTAAAACATAGGCATGAGCACATGTATCCACAAAATTTTATAATCTCGTGTGTGTGTGTGTGTGTGTGTGTGTGTGTGTGTGTGTGTGAGAGAGAGAGAGAGAGAGAGAGAGAGAGAGAGAGAGAGAGAGAGAAAGGAGTTGTATCTAAACTATTTTTAGATTTATGTATGTATGTATGTATGTATATATATATATTTGTGTGTGTGTGTGTGTGTGTGTGTGTCTGCGTGTGCACTGCCATGGTGTTCACATGGCGATCAAGGGACAACTTTGGGGAGATGGTTCTTTCTTCTTTACTCATTGAGCTACTTCACTGGTCCTCAGTCTAATCATGAAGTTTGTGTTCCGAGTGGCCTTGGAATTGGATCAATCCTCTTGTCTCAGCCTCCTAAGTCATAAAATTTCACCCAGACCTCCACCCAACTCCAGAAATAAATATTGAAACAAATACCCTTATGGACTCTGATGGTTTATATTCTCGGCCATCTTGGTGCTGAAAAGTGAACCCTGGTCCACTGTAAGGGCAGCACCTACTCTTAACCATTGAGCCATCCCTCCAGCCTCAGAGAGTACCATTAAGGGATGTTTTGAAAATTGGAGTATGGGGGACAGCTTTTAGTTTTTCATTGTCACAATGCTCGGGGATGATTTTGACACCCAATAAGACAAAGGGAATCCTGAGGTACTAGAGGCTCTGCAATATAGGAGCAGAAAAAGTTTGAGACCAATTTCACCTCTATGTCTAAAGCCAAATAAACTTTTGCAAGACAAGCTTATTCAAACAACCTGTTTCCTGTAAAAGCCAGGAAAGGGACTTTCTCCTGGCTTCCAATTCATGAGATGCCACACTCTCTGCTATATGACCTTCCTGAGATGGCAGTAAAATTTTGAGAAGTCAACCCATATGAGTGGCTCTCAGCTGAGTATGGATCCTTGTGCCAAGAGTAAGGATCAGATGAGATGATGCAGAAGTCCTGAGAATTTATAAAATTTTAGAAATGCTGCGTGAGCTGCCTCTTAGGTTGTAAAACTTAGCACCTCACTTCTGTAGGATCCATTCCTGGAACGCTTCCAGTACGGTGTCCTTCCTGCTGGTGGTTAATTCCTAATAAAGACTCACTTGAGTTGGAATTGCTTGCTTCTTTCTGGCTTCTATATCAAACTGAGTGAAAGAGCTGAGCTGACAACATTATGATCTGCTGTAGAAATATGAAGTAGGAATTCAGCTGCCTATGAAAAAGCTATACCTGGAAGAAACCAAGGGCCTTTCCAGAGGATAAAGCCAAGGCTTTAAAAGTCATGGTGATATTGACTTTTGAATATTAGCCATTTCTGCTATGAATTTCTCCTGTGCTATTGCAGTTTTTCCATCATTCATTTGGTACAATTTTCCCTATACAATTAAAATATTTGTATAACTTTCTCCAACTGTCCTAATAACAGACAGTCAAGATTCCTAATTTCCGGCCCTTCTGTAATTGTGTCATTAGCAACATCTGGCCAGGACCTTCTCCAGACAAAAGTTATCTTATCTGAGATATTCTCCAAACTCTCTAAGAACATACTTAAGCATCCAGACTATCTGTTTGAGAAAGCCTGGTGGATGTGCTAATTAAGCTTAACCTTCCCCTTTCCAAAATCTTATCTTAAGTTTTAGATCTACCTTTAACAATTAACTCAGAACTAAAGTGTTTCTATTTACAGGTACATCAAGCTGTAATGTAGGCTGCCCAACCACGGAATGCACTCCCCTGCCCTGCCAGAAAATGGTCGCAGTTGACATAGCTTGAACAGATAAGGAACCAAAGGGAGATAAGGCAATTTCATTTTCACTCATCACTGGTAGACTCCTAACACTTTACCTAACCACTTCTAAGAATGTAGTTTAAGAACATACATTCCCTTTCTCAGATCTATTAACTGAATTTAGCCCTCAGTTGATTCATTCCCCATTAGCCACATCCCTTTGTAGATGTTGGCTGACAATTAGTGCTCTTTTGTGTGGATTTTATTGCTCCTCCTTTTGACCCTGAGGGAATTCAAGCTTGGAGACCTTGCCTTAGCCAGAGCACTGCTATTGCATGGGTGTGTAACTGTAAACCCCAGACTTGGGAGGACTAGATTGGAGGACTAGAAGAGAGAACTAGAAGAATGAGATGGAAGATGAGGAAGAGCCAGGTGGGGGAAGATCAAGCTGAGAAAGAAGGATATGAGAGAGGAGCTAAGATGGGAAAGAACTAGATAGATGAGAACCCAGATGGGGTGAAACTAGATGAAGGAACTAAGTAGCACTTGGATGGAAGAGCAGAAAAATGTAGAGAGAATCAGGCAAGAAAGGAGCTAGGCATGAGAGCAGAGGTGGAGCCGTGTAGAGAGAGAAATGACTCAGAAGAATAAAGTGAATGGACTAGAGTTTTGTGTACATAGATTCATTTCATATCATTTAAGATTAGATTAGCAGCTGGTTGTAGATTCTTCCACTGACCCTGGGAGAAGGCTATTAAGGGGCTGGACCCTAATAGTCTTCAGTAATGATCATCACTGACTACTCACAACCATTATGATGAAGCATTTTTTCCCTGTGTCACATGTGACTTTCATATATCTCCCCCAGGAGGAGAATCTAAAATAAGGAGAACAATCATAAACTTATCTGGGCCTCGAATATAGCACCAATTTCCTATGTAGGGAAAGTGTTTTTAATGATTTTAACCTTTCAGAAATTCTGCCACTGTGAAAAACAATGGAAACGTTTTACTTTATTTACTTTGGAACTTAGTCTATGCTTAATTATCATTTCTGAGCATTGTGTCATCATTGCCTTTGGCCATTTGTGACATGTGAGCTGTTGATAAAATCTGCACTTGCAGTTTTCACATATATGGTGATTTACTTCATTTTCAAGATGATTCTGTGGCTATGTTTCTTTAGAAATTTTGAAGTTTTAAGTCTAAATGCAAGTAGTGATACAATTAATTTAAGATTTACTAATCTTAAATCCACATGTCTTCATTTTAAGTACAAGCACCTGACTACTCCAGTAAGTCTACCATTATACACATGCCCTGATGCTGGACTTTATGAAACTGTGTGTAGACAGATTATAGTTTTATAAGTTTTTTCATTTTAGAATCAAACAGAAGAAATGATAAAAATACTAAGAGAAAGAAATGTATTGATCTGATAGAGGTAGGATGACTCCTCTACAGCTGTGCAATAGTGTTGCTTGGCCAGCAGTTTCAATGTATGCATTTGTGGATCACAACCATACACTATCCCTGGTGCATGAGCAGGCTTTTTGGAACCCACTACCTATGATGGAACACCTCACATAGCACAGCCTTGAGGCAGGGGGAGGGGCTTGTACCTGCCTTTATTAAATGTACCTCCCCATGGGAGACCTTACTTTCTTGTAGGAGGGAATGGGGGGCGTGGACTAGGAGGGAAGAGGGGGATCTTTGATTGGTATGTAAAATGAAGAAAAAAATTGTTTTAAAAAAGTATGAACCTGTGGGAGAAGAGCCCAGAAATTTATCTCTAACCTTTTTGACTTTAGGCATTCCTCACATATGGTGGAAATGAGCACATCTGTATATATATGGCTTGTAATATTTTCTCCTACTCCATATATTGTTGCTTCTTTGCTGTGCAGTAGCTTCTTACTTGGTTGAAATTCTGCTTTTCTATTTTTGCTTTTGTGGCCTGCACTTTTGTTGCTATTTGTAAATATTCACTATTAAGACGTGGCAGGAGAGTGTCCCTTCTATGTTCTCATGCAGTAAAATTACAGTTCAAAAACAAAAGAAACAAAGAAAAAGGAAACAAGCAAACATTAGAAGGTGATGGGCATATTTGTTGCTTAGATCATGGTAATAACTCATGTGCATATATATGTGCAAACTCATATAACAATAATATGCCAATAAAGCTGGAGTGGGTAGATGTTAAGATAATTCTTATACAGTCCTTCTAGAAACAGTTCACGAGCTGGTATTTGGGAAATGTGAATCCTGATGTCATCACCTTCTGCTTTTATATTCGTGTGGTATCTTCCTCAGACAGAAAATAAATTAGTCCTTCAATCTTTTATTTTTTAATACCTTCTACTGCATCATTTATCTCTGTCCATATTTATGCTAAAGGAGTCCGTGGCTTAAAGAAGTCCTTATTCAACCTTGTTTTCTTTGGAAAACTGCACTTTATCACTCACATCTTCTTCCTTCCTGAATGTCTTGAAAGGGCTGTGTATCATCTCTTATCACTGCGAACATTTCTCTGTTCTCAGTGACTTGTAATACATCTTCTGCCCCCACCATTTTCATGAAAATGCACTTTCAAAGTATTCCGACAGTGCAGCAGCATCTTCTCAGCTCTTGTCTTGCTGAATTTCTTTGTAGTCTCATATGCTTTTATGTTTCTATTAGCATTTATTAACTATATGTAACACTGGGTTTCATTACTACATCTTTCTACATGTACACTATACACCTTTGAGTGTCTCTTACCACTGGAACTTTTTTTGGGGGAGGGGGGCTCGAGACAGGGTTTCTGTGCATAGTGGCTGGCCTGGAACTCACTCTGTAGACCAGGCTGGCCTTGAACTCACAGAGATCCACCTGGCTCTGCCTCCCAAGTGCTGGAATTAAAGGCATGCACCCCCACCACCTTGCAGAACTGTTTTCTTTTGCTTACTTTCTATAAGATTGAGCTCTCCTGGGTCTCACCTTTTTCATTTTCTCTGACTCGTTTCTTCTACTTCATCATGGATAATTTAAAAAGGAACGTTTTTCTATTTGTGTCTTTAGCCTTTTCATAGGATTCAGTCCTATATTCTTATATATCCTGGTACTTACTTATATATAACATCATCTTTGGAATTAATTTCTGTGTTTTGTGTCTAAAATTGAACTTATCTTTCCTCAAGCCAGCTACTATTCATTTTTCCTAGATAGGTGCTGTAGTTTGAATATGAAATGTCCTTTATAGGTTCATACTTTGAATGATTGTCTCCAGGATGGTGTTTTGGGAAACTTCAGAACCTTACATAGATGTGGCCTAGTTGGCAAAATTAAGTGACTAGGGGTGGAACTTATCCAGGTTCCTGCTTCATCTTTAGCTTTTTGGTCTGCACAATGACTCTGTCATATTTCCATCACCATGGTTGAGCTTCTCCTCCATGATTTCCCTACTATAAGGTTCTGAAAACCTCTGAACCTGTGACTCAAAATAGATCTCTTCTTCCTTCACTTACCTAGATCAAGAACTATGGTCACAGTGATGCTAATATAACTGATATAGTTATTTAACATGCTCACTAAATTACTGAAAGTAACACAAGGCACAACTCTCACCTTTCATACATAATCAATTATCAAACTGTACTCATTCTTCTTTACAAAATCTCATTTTTTGCTGTGTAGCCTTGGCATCTAACTGGTCTTCTGTGAAACTCTGATGTGGAAACTGCAGTTTACAGTCGGTTTTTGACTTTATCACTTACTCCATAGTCTTGTACAAGCTACCCAGTCTAGACCTTCTTTGTGCTTTTCTCTTGTACAGAATAAGGGGATCATGTATGTTCAGCATATAGATTGTCTTGATGAAAAGAAAACCCATTAGATAGTGCCTCAATGTGCCTCATATGGGATAAGTACTTGATGACTGTGAGCATTAATAATTTACAGATATATCAGGAGTTTTAGCAATGTTTTGTAGATGTAACCAATTGTATTATTAAAATAAAAAACACAGAGCCAAGGTAAAAGAGAAAAGCCGAGAGGTCAGAGCTCAGAGATAAAATCTTACCTCCTGCAGTGCTCCTA